AACGAGTGAATGGGTGCGGGGAGGCTCATCTATGGCAAAGGATCAAAGGGGGATCCCGGGAGCGGGGGCGGGGGAGCGGGGGCGAGGGAAGCGGCGGCGAGGGCGGCAAGGGGCTTGGCCGGCGATGTGATCGCGGGCCGGGCGTTGATGGCGGCGGTCAAGAAGCGAGGCGAGGCGGCGGCGAGCGGTGGCGACGTGCTATCCAGGGCAGCGGAGGAGGATCGGGGGCCGGGCGCGCACCATCACGGTCTCGTTCGTGGTAGGCGCCATTTTGCTGTATCTACGGAGGAACGGGACGCAGACGCGGCTCGGAGGGGAGACGAGGCGTGCGGCCACGGAAAAACGTACACGCGACGAGCGGAACGCAGCCGCGGCGGGGAGGGCGGCTCGGGTCTGGGTCCATGGGAGACGAGGCGTGCGGCGGCGGGGAGTGTGTGTGTGTGTTCGGTGGAGGCTGCGGGACGCCGGGGGGAAGGGTGGGTGGAGGCGTCTGTCGGCCAAACCCACCGAATGCTTTGCGTGTGAGTGATCGTACTGGCAAAAAAAACGACACAAATGGTATTTTGGTGGGCTAGTTCGAGCGAGCGCCGTGCCCAGGTGCCCTCTGAAGCGCACAGGTGTTCGCGCGGTGCGAGTGAGCGCAATAAAGAACTTCGCGTGGCCTGCTTCTCCCACAGTAGTCTGCACAACAAACCGCCGTGGGCTATCTGCGGCCAAAACGCGGCCCAACCGGCATCAAGGCGGCGGGCCGAGCTGCGAGAGAGCGTCATGCTGCGTCGACTACCGGGCCGCTCTTTCAGCACATGGGGAGAGAGTGCGCGTTCGCTACAATACTGGCTCGCGGCTGGCTCGCGGCGCAAGCCTCCGTCAATGCCTCCTGCCCTCCCGCGTCCAGGTTTGCCGCGCTGCCACCGGCGCCGGAGAGGGAGCCGGTGGAGCCCGAGTGGAGCGCCATCTGCTTGGAGACGAGCTTCGCGTAGACGCCCGCCGGCCTCGCCATGAGCTCGTGGTGCGGGCACTCCTCGGCGACCCTCCCCCCCTTGACGACGCAGATGCAGTCGGCGTTCCGGATGGTCGACAGCCGGTGTGCGAGGACGACCACCGTCATCCCGCCCTGCGCAATCATCGAGTCGATCGCCGCCTGCACCACCGCCTCGCTCTCCGCGTCGAGCGCGCTCGTCGCCTGAGCGGACGGCAAAGGGCCGCGGTGAGGCTGCGGCGCAACTCGTTGCGGCCGCGCCTGCGCCGCAGCTCGGCGCTTCGTCTAGCAGCAGCACGGGAGATAAGGGGAGATACGGGGAGATACGGGGAGATAGGGGCAGATAGCTGCAGCTCAGTGCCTCGCAAGCAGCAGCACGCTCTTCTCATCTCTTCTCTTCTCTTCCCGGCATCGAGCAGCAGCACGCACAGCAGCACGCACACGGGGAGATGCGGGGAGACGCGGGGAGACGCGGGCAACGGCCAAGCGGGGGCCAATGCATGCATTTTCGCCATGCGTGCCGCCGCCACGCGTCTACACACCGGTGCGCACTAGCATCGGCTCGCATGTAATCTTGGACGCAATGCTACACGTGACAGCCGCAAGCTTGTGGGCGGTGCGGCTGTTTGCCTTTGATTGTTGGTTGGTTGACTTGGGATTGCTGGACAGAGGAGCTACCTTGAGTGACGATGGGACATTGATTTATATTGGTGGGACGAGTGCAACAGGCGATTTAGTTGCGGAGCGTGTGCTCAGATGGGCACCGGAAACAGGATGGCGTATTCAGCTGAAGCCTAGGTGCGCAACCTCAGTGGGAGCTGGGCAGGCGCCACTGGATGACTTGCATGTTTATCAACCAGGGCGACCGCAACCGTACCGTTCTATCCGCCAGATCAGACGATCAATCAACACATTTGAATGAGAGAGCGGCTGCTATTTTATGTGGGGAAAAGCCATTGAGCTGACGCCATGCAACAAACGACGACACTATACAACATCAACTACGCAACAAGCACCTCACTCGTCACTGATCCCATTCGAGCCAAAAGTGCTTGCAGTAGCGGACAAACAACTCATCGCCCGCTTTGACAGGCTGCGTCGTGACGAGCCAGCCGCGCGAAAACTTGGCGTTCGGTGCCGTGGAGTGGTTGACGAAGCGCGACAGGTTGGCGCAACCACCCTGCCATGCCACGCCACGCTGCTCACTCTCTTCCAAGGCCTGCCAATCGGCATCACTGAAGCTGTGCACATCAACGCGCGCTCCATTGGAGAGCCGCAGTCGCCCGGCCGGGTCGCGAGCGTCAATGTAGCGAGGGCCAATGCGCATCACATAGCCGCGAGCATAATCATCGCGCCGCATCACCTTCGCTGCGACCTGCGCTCCTTCATACTTGTCAAGGTGCACGCCGGGGTTCAGGTCGATGGCCGCAAAGAGTCCGCCCCCCGCTGTCGAGCTCCGCTGAACAAAGGTGGCGTTGTCCCGCTTGTCGCGCCAGCCAAACGCGACCCACCCAAATGCCTTCGGCGCATTGGTGCCATCCGGAAGAGGCAGGACGGCGGTGAGCTGGGTGAGGATGAAGCCAGCAGCAGGCAGTGCATGTTTCAGCGCCTCTGTGGCGACCTGCCTGCTGAGGTCAGGGTGCTCTTCCACGAAGCGAGTGGCTAGCGACACACCATGCGGTGACGGGAAGTCGCGGTCGGTGCACAGCGACCGCCAGCATCGACGGCAACCGTCGACATACTGACGTGGTCGCCCCCTTGGACGCTTTGCTGGAGGCAAGTCTTCTGGACAGTCACAATGTAGACCTGTCGAGCGCACCCACGCCTCTGCGAGGGGCATCACCGCCTGCAGGGGCATGCTTCAGGTCACGAGCGAGGCATCAGGCGTCAAAATCAGAGGTTGTACGCTCGTCTTGAGCGACGGGCGATTTAGAATCTTACAACGAAACTCCCTCGCACAACACTGGGCACGGGACTGCGATTTAGAATACCCTTTGTGATCATGCATGGAATGCAAGGCATGGGTAGAAGATGTATCCTACCACAGTCATAATGCTATCATTAGCGCAAGTTCATGACACTGACCTGAACGCTATCGCTCGTTGGCACGATTTCTTCGGTCTCGTTGAGTGAAGGCGTCAATACTCGACGAGACCATTGCGCAATCTGAGAATGAAAGTGACACATACGACGACGTCGGCGCAAAAGCAGTGTTGGTGTGTGCACATCTGGCACATTCGAGCATATCACGAGCTCATAAAGCGTGCCTGCGTGGATTGGATGCCAGCGTGCGAGGTAGCACCAGTAGCATTGACGAGAGACTGTGTTGCACGTGAGCTCTTTCTGGTGGGTGTTGATGATTGAATTGTCAATATTGGCGTGTGCTCAGTCCTACGGCGTCTGCGCAGGCCGGGTTGGGTGTCATCACACGGGAGTAGATGCTCATCAGCCTCACCGTCCAGCGGTACTGCACTGTCCAGCGGCAGTCGCCACTGCGACTGGCTGCACGAGCAATGCGCACCCACGGAGCTGCGCCATGGATTTTCCATCGGTGCACACCTGTACAAGTGTGAAACTCCTCGAGGCACAGGGGCAGATCGTATACATGCACACATGCAGCTGTATGTATGCGACATACAACCGCACACACATATCTACAGACGTATTACGGGGCCAAGGGGCCAAGGGCTGGTTCCCGAATGCACGTGCACAATTCACAGCTGTTTCACCACCCCACAGCTTGTGCCTCGCTTTTGTTCAAGCCGTGTGGTGTGGTGATGCGTTCGGGTGCGCGTTCGACGGCTGCAAAGTCTGCCGTCACAGCGGTGACCGCGGTGGGCGAAGGAGGGACGGTCGACAGCCTTGCTGCAGAGCCGCCCGTGCCTCGTCAGAGGCGCCGCGACAAAAGGGAGAAGGTCAGGGCAGAGAAGCGCGCCGAGTACCATCGTCGAAAGCAGGTCGGTGTGGTGCGCACCAGCGGCCGTCTGAACGGTCGTGCTCCAATAGCACGTCCCATGACCGGCAGTGCACCGTGGTTGCCTTCCCGCGAGACAATCTTTGGCATGGTCTCAGCAGATCCGGGCTACGTGCAGTTCCAAGTTTGCGCCAGCGCCGTGCCACAGATGCTGCAGTGGGTGGCACCGCATTTGCTGGAGCGCACAGGCGTAGCGTTGGCGCGCAGGCTGACAGCAAGCGCCCTCCCCCCACGGCATCGAGGCGCAATGGCGTTTGTCTCACTGCTTGCGACTGACAGCACCGTTCATTGCGACACAGACGATGGGCTGCTGCTTGTCGTCTGCGGCACGCGCGAGGTGAGCTGGGCGGAGCCGAGTGCGGCAACAGCAGAAGGATGCATGGAACATGGAGACGGTGTGCGCTACTGTGACCAGCGCATCGCATGGCCGCCGATAGGAGCGTCAAAGATGGCGCTGCATGCCGGTGATGCGCTGCTGTTGCCGCGAGGCTGGTGGCATCGCGTGGTCGGCGCGCCCGGTTCGGTGAGTCTGAGTATTGATGTCGTCAGCGGCGGCCGCTCGTCACCTTGTGTGTGGAAGCACGCCGGTCTGTCACGACCGCAGTGTGGCTGGACGAGTGCGCGCACGTTGATGAAGCTCCTTGGTCGTGTCGGCGCGAAGGAAGCTCCGTAATGCCGTGCGAAGTGTGCTTCTTGTAATGTCGGGTACGTGTGCGTATCGGACGTACCCTTAGTACATGCGTATCGGACGTAAACAAATCGAAAATCGATAATTGATGGAACGAAATTAAAAATTGAACATCGATTGTACAATTAACTCGGAGTTTTAGGCCAATGATGAAAAGAATTTTAAAAAGTTCATCGTAAATTGGTGCATTTATACTTGCTTCCGCTGGGAGCAAATTTACATTAAAACCAATCCAAAAAGATATAGCAAAAACGAGGGAGACGCGGGGAGACGCGGGGAGAGAGCACGCGACGTACGGGTGCCGCACCAGCGCGCGCGCGATCGCGATGCGCTCCTTCTGCCCGCCGCTTAACTGCGCGCCCCGCATCTCCGCCGACGGGCGTGGCGTAGCCGAGCTCGAAGCCTGCTCACGCCGGCCAGTGGTGAGGGGGCGCTCCTCGTGCATGCCGGCGCGCCGCAGCCGAAGTCAAAGCCGGAGACGAAGTCGTGCGCGTTGGCGAGCTGCGCGGCGGCGTGCACCTGCGACATGTGCATGTCCATGTCACGGACCTGTCCAGGACATGTCCTGGCGAGGTGCGCGGCGGCGTGCACCTCCTCTGTCGAGGGCCGCCCCTCCCCGCGCTCGCCGAGGCCGTAGCAGATGTTGTCCTCGATCGAGCGGGCGAAGAGGACGGGCTCCTGCCCCACCAGCGCAACTTGCCGGTGGAACCAGCCCGGGTCGAGCCGAGAGATGGGCACGTCGTCGAGGAGCACCTGCGGGGGAGCGGGGCGGTGACGAGACAGAAAAGAAAGCCGCGACGCCCCTTTTCGGGGAGCTTGTGGTGAGAGGGGGAGCACGGGCGCTCGAGGAGGGGATTAGCCGCCGTGCGCTCGATGGTAGGGCACGGGCAAGAGACCGCGCAGCGAGGCGTAGGCGACTTGCCGCCTCCGCTCGGCCCACAGAGCGCGACCACCTCGCCCGGCTTGACGTGCAGAGAGAGACCGTCCAGCACGAGCTTCTCCGGCCGGAGCGCGTACCTGGGAGGGAGGGAGGAGGGGGGGGGGGGGGAGGGAGGGGGGGAGGGGAAGAAGGTGTCGACGGAGCAGCGGGGGTGCGCGCCGACGGCCGCCGCAGCCGGGAGGCGTCTGTGTGAGCTGCGCACCTGTTGAGCAACAGGTCCAGAGAGGGAGAGGGGTGGGGAGGGAGGGGTCGGGGGAGGGCCGGTGCCGGTCGCGTGTCTGGGTGGAGGCTGCCCGTGGCAGAGGGCGAGGTCTGCATCTCGGCCACGCCTCGGCTGTATCCCGGCTACATCTCGGCGCGTCGTAGTAGAGGATGGGAGATATGGGGAGATATGGGGAGATATGGGGAGATATGGGAGATATGGGGAGATATGGGGAGATATGGGGAGATACCGTAGCAGAGGACTGGGGAGATATGGGGAGATACCGATACCGTAGTAGAGGACGAGGCAGTACGCGCAGTACGGCAGGAAGGTGAAGGTCATCGACGAGTACACATAGTACAGCCGCGCCTGCAGGCGAGGGGGTCGGGGAGGGAAGGCTTGCTCCCGCGGGAGGAAGAGGCCCCCATCTCTCCCCACATCTCCCCATATCTCCCGCGGGAGGAGGAGGCGGCACGCGTGCACAGCCGCGCGCCGTGCGGACGACGGAGATATGGGGAGATATGGGGAGATATGGGGAGAGATGGGGAGATCACAGCCGCGCCGTGCGGAGGACGACGCACTCCTGGTACGCCTTCATGCCTCGGCCGTAGATCTCCTCCTCGCTCCGCTCGGCGGCGAAGGCGCGCGTGGTTGAGATGGAGGAGATGACCTGTGAGAAGGGGCGGCTCCTCTCGTCCTGTCCTCTCGGGCTGATCTCGCGTGGCGGAGATGGAGGGGGGTGGTCGCCTCCTCGGCCGAGATAGGGGGAGATGGAGGGGGGTTGATCGCCTCCTCGGCCGTCGTGTTCGACTCGGCGAGGGCGTCCTGCGTCTCGGTCGAGAGGGTGCGCAGATGGCCTCGAAGAGGGGCCTGCTCTCCGGGCGGAGCAGGAGGCACGAGTTCTCCTGGTACTCTGCGCCCCACAGCTCGAGGATGGAGAGGGTGGCGTCCCCAGAGTTGATGGACCGCGCCTGAGGGTTAGGGTCAGGGTCAGGGTTAGCGTCAGGGTCGGGGTTAGGGTTAGCCAGAATTGATGGACTGCGCCGTCGGACGAGCGGAGAATTGATGGACTGCGCCGTCGGACGAGCGGGGGGGGGGGTGTCGAT